AGTGTATACACTTCTGCCCTTCTTACTGACTTTCAGAATGATTTATTGTATGAAGACTGTGTATAACATGACTATCTGAAGCTCAGTCATGAACACTGATTATTACATTTGTTTTAAATATTTATGATGAGACAATTATTCATTCATATCAGAAAATCATTCCCTCTCTCAACAGTGTTAAGATTGTAAGTCTTTTTCTTTTTATCTTTTCTTTATGACACTGATTTTTCTGTTCTTAGAGAAAATTATTATGAGTTTTACTGTATACAAAGTTGTGACATTCACAGATATCAAGAAACTTTTCACAACTGTCAAATTCAATATTATAGGTATATTTACTCTGATGAATATCTTCAGAATAATCAATCTGTATCAGCCTATTCTCTGATGTTTATTATCTGACTTTGTGATGCAGGTGAAGAATATCTGTGTTTTCAGGAACAGAAACATAGATGTTATACTCTTTTACATCTGCGGGTGTGAGGCTTGTACACCTTGTCTGAGATGTTGTTGTGAGAATGAGCTGTTCACATGCTGTGTTCTACTTTCTGCATTTCTCTGTGTCTCTCTCTCTCTTTCTGAGAAGCCTCATGCATGTTGTAATTACATGTATAACTCTAAGATCAGTGAGTATTCATTCAGTAACTGTTCTCATTTCTGATTTTGTAATTTTTGTATACTAATAATGATTCTTAGTTGCTCTGATGTCAGAGGTCATTCTGATCAAAGATGATAACATCACTGAGACTACTCTCTTCTATCTTCAAGCTTCTCTCATCACTTTCTCTTCTTTCTCTGTGAGAAAGATTGTGCACACACTGAGTTATAAGCATTCAGCCTCAGATGACTCTCATTATTTGTTCAGTTCTGTATCTCTCTCTTCTGTTTCTTCTGTCTTTGTTCTCTCTGCTCTGACTTCTGATTCTGTGAGTTCTGCACTCTTCTTCAATTTCTCTACATGTATGCGTATGCATTTCTATATTGGCATTTCAGTCAATCTTGTGATAAATGACATTAATGTCATATACAGAGTGATAGAGAAATCAGAGATGTATGTGATATTGTTATAAGAGTGACTTACAGCTCTCAAATTTCTTACAGATCTCGAGTTTTGAGATTTCCTTTATTTTTGACATCTTTCAGATGGCGTGGTGTTGAAAATAGATTAAATGTGTGACATATAAAAATGAATGAGATGTGTATAATAATATTAGTCTTTTGTGACTGACTCTTACAGTTGATGATTAATTTATTATTTCTTTTCTTTTCTTACACTTTTTCTTTATCTGCTAACTACTACTCTTACATGATCTCTATATGATATAGTGTTTAATAACTAGATTCAGCAGCTTTCATCTTTTGTGATTCTGTCTCATGTATTATACTGTCTCTCTTCACCTGTTCAGATCACTACAGTGAACAGCTCATTGAAACTAACCTTGCTCAATCTCTGAGCATCTTCAGAGATTGAGATGACTTGGTCTCACACATCTGCAGATGTTTCAGATAGTTTATTCTCTGTAATCTCTGCAATTGAACTGATGTAAACAGTTAAATTCAACTCTGAATTTCTTTTTCTTCTGTGATCTGATTCATGTGCAAGTCTGTCACTTTGAGACTGCTCTTTGCTGTGTTGCACCTGCTGTCTGTGATGTATTATTATATGACTGGCTACAGTCTTATTACTTATTGAAGTGTGATATTCATCTGATTTCTTCATTACTTCTCATTCTTTCCTTATAATTATGAAAAGATTGAAATAAGTGAGATCATCTGATTCATAAGTGTCTATGATTTCTCTTACTTCATGAGACTTTTCAATTGTAAGCTTCTTCTTTTTCAACACTGATGATAGTACTGTGAATAATCATAATTCACTCAGATCTTACATCTTTGCTTTCATAAGTTGTGAATTATTAATTAAGTTGTGTAAGATCTGTCTCTCTGATTCTTTCAATATGTACATTCTCAGAGAATGTGATTTGAGTATTTTATATGACTCAAATCATCTAGATTGAAACTTCTCAGAACTCTTATTATGTATGAGAACTCATGTTCTCATCTTGAGACTCAATTTCTGAACAAGTGAGTCTCATATTCTTTTTGATTGAATTGCTTGATTCAGAAGTAACTCATTAGCTTTTGCATGTACATCGCTGATCTCTTTCAATCTTGGTTCTGTGTCTGTGACTGTTGTTTTCTCCCTCATCTTTTCTGAAGCATTCTCTGAGATGCGCGGATGCAATTCATACAACAGGTAGAATGGTGAATGCTTGAAGACTGCATACTGTCGAATCTGCATGGTCAATAGTGCCTGTCTGAGATATTCATCTCATAGTCTTGTAGGCTTGTTCACTAGATATTTTGTCAGCATGTTGCTCAAGATTTCATTCAAGTATTTCATCTTCCTGTTCATCTGTGAATGATATAATATTGTTCTATAATATCTTGTCTGTAACTGGCTTATGAAATGCCTCACTACTTCTCTCACAAGGTTCACACTGTTATCAGTTAGAATCTCATGCAGCATTTCATAGTTGACATAGATTTCATCATGTAGAAACTTTGTCACCATCTTCTCTGTCATCTCTGAAACTGCTTTTGTAACTGGCCAGTCAGTAGCATAATCAATAGCAGTGATTATTCATCAATTTCCATTTGATGTTCACAGCAATATGCCTAGACTGACCGTGTGACCGTGTCTGGGACCAGGACCAAACTTTACAGTTGTCACATTGCCTAAAAGCATTACTTCTGGTCATGGTTTGTGTTCATCACATTGATCTCAAATCATGTTATTTCAAATATTAAAGGTCTCAGATTCACTTTTCAAATAAAAATCTAGTTCTGAATAAAGAATATATTTGAATTCTTAGTCACATTTTCATTCTGATCTCATTATTGAGAATGGCATCAAATGAGATTATGAAATCACTTCTCACTTACATAATATCATAACATAGTACTCATTTATTGAAAATTCAACAGAGAGTGTTATTAAATATCATTACTTTTCTAAATATAGATTATAATTCATATAATTTTAATTATGAAAAAAATATAAAATACAAAAAAAAAAAACAAAAAATAAAAAACAAAACAAAAACAAGAAAAAATCAGAATGAATAAAAAAAAAAAAAAAGAAAAGAAAAAGAAAAAAACAAAAAATAAAAATAAAAAAAATCAAGATCACAGAGCTGTAGTATTCTCAAAATACTCACTTCTCAGAGTCTTCACAATGTTCATTACTAACTGTGTATCTCTCACAGTGAGAGTAACACAGCTGTAATAAGTTATTGTCTTAACATTATCTAATAAATAATCAGTATATATCTGTATAAATGTGAATATTTAGAAAATATACACTTAAAAAGTGTGGTCAGGGTGAACTCTGCTACCACTTGAATGATATCAAGAGCAGAATGCTGGAATTGATGATTTCTCTCATTAATTTCATAGACAAGGTGAGTGAAGATGATCTTGAAGAATATAAGATTCTCTGACTTCTGATAAAAACAGATCTCACAGAGAGACTCTATTTTCATAATATCAGAGACTGAGTATTATTAAAAAGTGTTACTTTTATGCAATGCATATGCACTTACTGCAACAATTCACTCTCTGTGCATGTGGCTGAGAGTTGCAGCTTTCTCACATCACACAGCTCTCTCTGAAATGCTGGCATCAGTTTACAACTCACACAGTCTTTCAGTCCAGCATACACTGCACATATGCAGCCCTGCATGCTGGGGCCATGTTGATCATTATGACCTGGCGTGATACTCACTTTTCACAGGCCATGTTTTGTTTGAGAGGAAGAGAGAAAGATGTGACTGTGATTTTATTGAGACAGAATGAATAATTAGTAATATTGAATGTAATTTAATTCTTCTGTATTTAAAATTTAATTAGTCTATACTCTTCAATTTGAGGGTTTCTAGAAGTGTTTTAATAGTTTTCATACTAGCTTGAATTTAGTGATGAGTTGAAGAAGAAGAGAAAAGAGAGAAGAAAGAAATGAGAATAACTTATCTTTATAATATGAAAACAGAGAATCACTGTAATCATTCTTTCTAGCAATAAAGATCTGTTTTCTGCATGTATCTCTGATATAGATTATATAATAACTGCATACAAAGAATATCAACACTGCATGCATTGAATGAAGATGATGTTGCTATGTAACACTGTAGCTGTTTTCATATATCTCTGAAAACTGTTAATATTTTCTTTGTCTCTTTATATTTGATAAGTCAGTAATATATTTCAATGCACTCTCTCTTTCATCATCATCATTATTATCATCATCATCATCATCATCATTATCATCATCATTATCATCATCATCATCATCACTATTATCATCATCATTATCATCATCATCATCATCACTATTATTATATTATTTCTGGCTATCTCTTCTGCCTTCACTTCTCTTTAATGCTCATCAAAATCAATCATGTTATTCTTCTTCAAATATTCTGCGGTCCTGCGGACCACCAAGGCGCGTGAGCATCATCATAGATTGAAGAGAGAGGAGAAGAAGGTGTTTAAGTGAGAGGAGATCAATCATAAGACATGTTATAATGCCTTGAAGAGGCTCTGTAAGAGAGTAGAATGATAACAATTTTAAGTAACACTTCTGATAGATTTAGACTGAACTAAGTATAGAAATAATGCAGATAACATCACCTGTGAGAGATTGAAGAAGAAGACAGTGAAGAGTCTCATACAGTAGTGATGAGATCAGAAGAAGCTCTGAGAATGATTTGAGTTTAAGATGAAGAGAGAGAGAGAGAAGAAGAGTATTACTATAAATAAGCAGCAGCAGAAGAAGATTGAGAGAGTGTTAAAGTAGGAGATAAAGAAGTCAAAACTGGTAAGTTTTTTATTTATTAAGAGATAACAATTTTTGATAATGCTTCTGTTCTCTAATTGATTAGTAGGAGCTGACAGAGAAGGAGAGAATTGAGGCCTTGTTCAGGTCTTGAATGCACTCTATGATTCAGAACATTGAGAAGGCAGCCCTGCTCTCTGAGCATGTCAATCTGCTTACTGCTGGAATGGAACCTGAGACAGCAGATAAGAAAATGCGGGATTTTGAGATGCAGGTTGACCTGGCTGAGGAGAAGCAGCAGAAACCCTTCTCTGAGATGGCAGCAGAGGGAGATTTTGAGATAGTTATCACCTCAGATGAGAAGAAGGAGAAGAAGAAGAAGAAGAAGAAGAAGAAGAATAAGAAGTAAATTATAAAGAATGATAAGAAGAATAAGAAAGAGAAGAAGTAGATTTTTTTCTTTTTATATTAGTTAATTATAAGTTTAAGTTTTTAATTATTAATAATTAAAATTAATTTTGAGTTTTCAAAAATTATTGTACAAGTTGTAATCAAGTCAGAAATGATATATATATATATATATATTTAACTATCATGATTCACAAATCACTATAATGTATCAGTATCAACATTTTTTCAATATTGATATTTATAATATTAATATATTTTTAATGATATTATCTGATAACATAATTTGATAACACTCTCTTTCATAATATTAATATATTTCAAGAAATATGACAGAGATTAATCAAGATTATTTATTTACTTTTATATATCAATGATATTCAATCTGAGTTAGTACTAAAATTATAACTAAGTTAAGAAACAAGATTATTTTCTCTTATATTAATTCTTCTTACACACATCAGTGATCAGTTATTAAAAATAAATTGTCATCTTTCTCAAATTATTATCATATCTTCTGAATTCACTTCTTCTACTTCTTTTACTTCTATTGAAGATTCATAAACTCTTCAAGAAATCACTGTGAATTACAAAGTCTATATTATTTACAATTCAACACAGAATGCTCTCTTTCAATTATGATAAATAATCACTTCATTCTTCACATCTGATTTCAGGTTATAAAATTTATGAAAAACTCAACACAAACACTGAGATAATCTATGAAATAATTATTAACAGATTACATTGTAGATTACTGAAGAGTCATCTCTCTGCTACAATCACTGTAACTTCATTCAGAAATATTCATTATAAACTGATCATAGCTCTGAAGAAATTTCCTGACATCTGAAGTCATCAGAATGCAGACAATAAAAGAAAAATAATCAGAAAATTACTACTGAGCTGATAAGTTACTCTATCAGATAACAATTTTTGATAATACTAACTTTCTAATTTGAAGAAAATTATGTGAAAATAATCATATATCAGTACTCTGATTTTACAACTCTCATCTGATAACTTCTGTGAATAATTACTTTATATATATATATCTCTGAATCTTTCTTTTCAATCAATTGAAAACTCTGAATTCTGAACACTTCTTTAAATGCTTAATTCAAATCTTCATATTTCACATTGATTCTGTCTTCAGTTCAACCTTGAGATACACTACAAAGTCAATATACAATATCTAGAATCAGAGTTGAAGAATCATCAAAGAGTGTCTCTCACAGTGAATGCATGAACTAGTACAAACAATCTTGCATTTGTAAGAGTTATATATTATTACATTGATGAGAACTGAACTTATCAAGAGACATTAATTGAATTTGAATCATTGATCAGTAGTCATACTGAGGATTATATAGCAGAGATATTAATGACTGTGATTAAAAATGACTATTGAGATATTAGTCTCAGTCTTCTTACAATTACAACTGATAATGCTGTGAATAACTATACTATGATGAAGAGCTTGAAGCAAAAATTGACTTTGTATTTCTGAAATGATAAACAAGGTCATATTCCCTGCATTACTTATATGATTTAACTTGTGATGTAAACACTGATAAAGAATCTTAACATTGAGATAAAGAATAATGAGATGGCTGATTCTTGAGATAAGAATGAGATAAAAGTGATTACTCAAGTAACTTTTACATCTACTTTATAAAAGATAATATTTTTTAACAACACTTTTTGATATTGCTTTTTGATAATGCTTTTTAATAATACTACTGTTAATTTTGAATAGATTGACTAATAATTTAAATATCACAGATTCAAAACATTACTAATGTGATTTGTATCTCTTCTAAATAATAATAATGATTTCATGATATTCAATAAATAAATAAATCAGTCACATCACTGAATATGATACAGAATGTTAAAACACAGTGAAGTTCAATATATAAGATGACTGTTCAGGCTCTTTGATTGTGTCAGACAATTGATCATTGAGTGTAACACTCTGATCAGGAAAAGATCTAGATATTGAAACTTTCTGATATGAAGTGAACTCAGTTAAAATATGTGATTGATTTACTGTTTCAGTTTTATAAGACAATAAAGACAGTCTCAATCACTTGTACACCAATGCTGCAGTCAGCCTGGTGAATGTATAACAGTTTATTTACTCATCTTGAGAAGCAGTTGAATCACTTAAAAAGAAATTCAGTCTGGGATGATGCTATAGTGCAGGCTATTATTACTGTAAGAAATAAACTGGCATATTACTACAGCAAAACTGAACAATCTTTTGCAGAGTACTATGCTGTAGCAGCTCTACTAGATTTCTTCTGTTAAGTTAATATCTACACTTCTCAAGATTAAACAGAGGAGAAACAAGACTCATATGTCAAATTAGTCTGAGACTACTACAATGCCAACTATCAGAGATTTGAATGAGCAGATGTTCAAGATGTGAAGACAGTGGAATATAATTCCCTAGTAAGTAACAATCTTTGATAACACTTCATATCTCATAGAACTATAATACTAACTTTGAAACAGGACTTGCATACATTGATTGCAACTGAAAATCAGGCAAAACTACATACTTATAAAACTGAATTTGACTGCTATCTTCAAGATGATCTGACAAATTTACACACCAAATCAATTCTAGAGTTATGAAAAATTGTTAAGAGTATATATTCAACTGTTGCACTGATGATGTGTGATATTCTGACAATTTCATTGACAGAGATGAGAATGAAGTGAAAGTTCAACTCAAGTTGAGATATTTATCACTATCATTGAGAACAATTACAAGAAGAAACAATCAAGAAACTCATGATTGTAAAACATAGAATTATCAGATAGTTTAATATCTCTGATCACAGTATATCAGAGAAGTGTAGTTTTCATGAGAAAGTGAAGAATAAACTTACACAAGAATGTATTTAGTTGTTTCATGAGTGTTATCAATAATCATTACCAAATTCTGATTATATAAGCAATCACTGAATGAACTGAATGAGACTGATTTTAATCTTCAGTCTCAGTCTCATTCTGATTTTAGAAGAATGATCATCTTTCACAGTTTATTCTGAGAAATTACTCTCATTTCACTGTTCTTGAATTAAATCTGGTCATTTTTCATGCCATTTCTCTCAGAAATGGTCCATTTTCAGATTTTTTTGAGGCTTGGTCCTGGTGGGACTCACGTCAAGAAATGTATGAGACCAGACCAAATGGGATCAAATGTGAAATTCATGGTCCCGCCGGCCAGTCTAAATATGCCTATGAGATTCATTCTTCATCATTTAAACAGTTATATCATACACTTCACCTGATGTTGCACTTTCTCATGTTCTAATCCTTTCTTAGATTCTTTCACAACCTGATAATTCAGGCACTCATGAGTGTATGTCTGAATGTTCTCAGCCATGCTTGATCAGTATACTCTTGATTCAAGTACACTCATGAGTTCAGGACTTTCTAAGTGACTGAATTTCTTGTACATGTGAGTTATTAAGTCACATTGAAATAAAGATTCTAGATAGAGAGCTTCTGTGTATTCTAGATTGTGATAAAGCATAATGTTATTTTCTAATTTTCTCAGCTTGAAGTTCAGAAGCATCTCTTCTACTACTTTCACAAGATACTTATTATCTGACATCTTGTCATTCTTCAAGTAAGAGATTATGATGTTCACTCATTCTGATTCCTTGTATCTTGTCAGCGCATTTAATATGAATGTTTCTTATACCTAGTTCACAGAACCCTTACTCATGAAATTGAGTCTGTAACTAATTGTATCAGATATTATGATGTCTGATCTCTTTCAGTATTTGATATGAAGATCATACACTTGAAACTCTGAGATTCAACATACTAAGCATTTGAAAGATTTTATCATTGATTGTAGATAGATGAGACTTTTATAATTCATGATCACTGTTATTGTATACTCATTGTTAATATATCTATCTCACAATGTCAGTGTGTGCTTAATCACTAGCAATTCTTTTTCATACACTGAGTAATTGAGCTCAGTGTCTGATAGTTTTCTATCATCATACATTATCAGATGCAGCTTGCTGTTCTTACTTATCTGTAGAAGAGCGCCTCTGATAGCTCATTCAGATGTATTTGTCTCAATGTAGAAAGATTTATCATAATCTGATTGAATAAGTACTGAGAATATTATTACACATTCTCTCAGTGTGAGAAAAGCCTCTTCACATGTGATATTTCAGATGATTGAATGAAACTTCTTCTTTTACAGATTTGCATCTATTTCTCTTAAGAGATCTGAGAGTGATGCAGATATTTATGTGAAATTCTTAATAAATCTGTGATAGTATGAGATCAACTCAAGAAACTGTCATACATGATGTACATTTCTCAGCTGCAGTCAATTTGCTATGACATTCAATTTCTTCAGAATAAGATATATACAGTCATCACTTACTACATGTTCTATAAACTTCAACTCTTCTATTTCAAACACACACTTGAGTGATTTAATATAGAGTTTATACTCTGTCAGAGTTATAAGCACTTCATTGAGATGCTTCAGATATTCATTGTATAAGTTTGAAAAGACTAGAATGTTATTAAGATATACAAGGCATGAGATTTTATTCTGTTTATGAAGAATTGTATTCATTACTATTTAGAAGATGATGAGTGCATTTATCAGACTAAATAACATTGTCAGGAATTTGAACTTTTCTCATTATATATTAAATACAGTTCACAGAACTGACAGTTTGTCTATACAGATCTGTCAGTATTCTGAGAGAAGATTAATCTTTGATAGATATCAGATATTTTCAACTGTATTCAACTATTGTTGAATCTGTGACAGTGAATATTCATTCTTGATTGTAAGCTTGTTGAGTGCTTGATAATTAATACACATTCATCACTCCTCACCTGTCTTTTTTACAAATAGAACTGAAAAGCCTCACACACTTGATGAGAGCTATATGAGATCACATTCTAGAAGATCTGTGATCTGATACTTCTGTTCTTTGAGATACA